GAATAAAAACTGCGCATATATTTTACAATGGTACGAATTTTATCTAAGCAAGAACTTTATCTAAGAAAAATGATCATATAATTCTCATTTATCTCGTTTGCCCATCCTTTTCCGCGGAAATCTTCGCGTCATTGCTCTCGCGAAGTACCGTCGATCGTAGAACGATAATTCGACCGATGATGATCGTTTCAATTTTCCATGTGTTGGTTGCAAACGTCCTCGGATGAGCGGTACCATTTTTCTTACACAGTGAGATTGCTGTGCGTGGCTCTTAACAAACGTCGAGTCATTGTTATCGGACGTCCGGAATGAGGGAACGGGAATAATGTTTTTCCCGGGACGAAAAAGAAACGGCGGGAGAAAAACCGATGAGTCGAAGGGGTAGCGTTAATCGATCTTGGACTATTTTCGACGGGTTTATAAACGAAGCGCATTAAAGCGGACTAACCGACGCCGTTTAGAGCAGCAGGTAAAATTCAAACGCTAAGTAATTAATTTTTTAAACGGATTTTATACATTCTTCACCAAGAGAATTTTCTCGGATAGATAGATATTCTAGTAACAGATAGATATTAATAGTGGATAGATATTAATAGTGGATTACACATATTGTACATTAGCATTCCAAAGAAGCGTATGAATTAATAATAGCTATTGGAAATCTGCGCGAAATTGACATAAAACCATTATGTAAAAACTCTATTTATACTGTTCGAATAAAAGATTCAATAGAAATTTCGTAGAAAAATAAATAAAAATATTTTTAGAATAAGATATTTTAAAAATTTTTGATCGTATAATTTGATTGTATAATTTGAAGAAGTTTATTGAGATCGATATGTTTATATCGCATATCTGAAAAACATATTCTAATATGATACCTCTCACCAAATTATATAAGCGGATTATTGTAAATGCGCTGAGCAACTGAATTAATTCTCTGCATTTGTAAAATTTATAAGGCAACTTGTGTGAAAATCATGCAAATATATATCGTGAAAAGGATAAAACTCGCGGCGATGTAATGCGGATAGCTCAATGTGTGCGCATTTAAATTAACGATGAATTTTTTCCGCATTCGTCCGACAAGGCACCGCGATGCTGCGTCACGGCATCGTAATTGAAAAGGACCCATTGTATGTTCGCTCGTCGAGGACACTCTCGGATATCCGGCTTTCGTTAACCGTCTGCAACTCGATTTACCAGAACGCACGTCCCTCGTAGCGAGTAAATATCGCGAGGGAATCGAATTCACCCGCCCAGCGGCATATATTCACGGTAAACAGGGACATTGCGGATTTCCACTATTCATCAGGTAACGTTCAATTCGATAGCCTTATCTTCCGGCTATGTATTATTAAAGTTGTTGAATATTTCATTCGCATAAGACGCATTCATTATCGCTCATTCATTTATATTAGCATAATTAATAATATTCGCTTAATAAATAACCATAATCCCTAATTTATAATATACATATAATCGCATCTCCGATGTTACTATAAGTATCGATAGACTATTGTGGCTATTTTAAGTACTTCTGAAAACGTGCTGTAGTAGAATATCGACATAGAAGCTCGTAAACTAGGCTAACATAAGACTAAAATAAAACGAGGTGGAGTCATATCTGTTTAATATCGTTAAATAATAACAAGGTTTCTAACATTTTTTTCTAAAAATAAGAAAATGTATTTCTTTGATAACTATTTTTATAAATATATAAGACATGTATTTTGTTTTCTCTTTCTTGTTCTCTCTCTCTCTCTCTCTCTCTCTGTGTGTGTATTCCGCCTATCTCATTCTGTTCCCATTTACGGTGCCGCATCTAAATTGAATGGAATGTAAATTATACTTGTCGCATTCATGCCGGCAATTACTTGGCACACAAATGCTGCGAAATTTCCCGGCGAGACGTATATGTACCATTTTCCACACAAGGCAGACACATTCTCCTTCTATTAGAACATAATGTCGCTCGCTCGCTATCTGAAAACCGTCGCGTCCTCCGCATACCCCTCCCCTCCCCGTCCCTCCCGGAATCTACCGTAAAAACCAACCTGGTTGCTCCAGCGCGAGGTACGTCCTAGGTCATCCGGAGAGCTCCTCTTCCGGGCGGATCGAAACGCGGCTGCAGCTTCCACGGTGCGGAATACGGGATCGCGCCGCCCTTCTTCCCTTCGTCGGAGTGACTTGCGGCTCGATAAAGGTGAAACAACTCCTACTCGTCACTGCACACCGTCAGCGTAATACGCGACGAGAGCGGGACGCCTCGTGCATCGGCGATCACCTAACGTGCGATCCATACGATACTCTCCGCGGAGGCGTCGCGACGCTCACTGCGGAGACTCCGCCGCGTACCCGCCCTTATAGCATCGTGTTGCGCTCGTACTGCGCCCCCTGCGCCCCCTGACTACCCTTCCACCTTCCTAGTCCGCCGCACCATCATCCCCGCCATCCTCTCCGCGCTACCCCTCTCCGACGCGCAACCCCCAACCCCGTTCACCTTATACAGGATAACGCGAGCGCTCGTTCGGAGAGACCAACCGATGCATTCTTCGAGAATGCCTCGTCGGGGATGCAGCGAGCTATAGGTAAGAACGCGAGCGAATGGTCTTCCTTTCATTGCTCTCTTTCGGTTACTCAATCCTTTGTTTGCAATTGCATTAAAGCGGAAAAATACGCTTGGTCGTATCCTGTACTCGCGACATGCCACTTTATCGTCGTTTCGTTGTAGAAGAGATGACGTCTCGAGAATATGTGTGTCAAAGTTTTGACGGGATTTGAATGATTAATCTTTGGCGCAAAATTTGATTATGCTAATATATGAATTGTTATTTGAATGAATTGTTTTTTAAGGCAAGCGAAACCTCAATAAAAAGACAACAAAAGAGGACACGAGATTCTTCTTTAATATTATATTTATTCGATACTCAACTAAATTAATGTTAATGGGAGCGCTGCAAATTATGAATTTTACGCCTTTCTCTTGCAAATATTTGTCATAAAGCGCTTCCGGCAATATCGTGATGCAATACAAGTCAGCCACGTGCCTCAGAAATTGCCGAGATATTCGCGCGCGCGGGTACTTCTTTTTCTTCATTTTTACATAAAGCTAATTTAAAAGCGCGCGAATGCGCGACCCACGTGGAGGCAATTAAATTATAAAAGTCCCAACATATCAAGAGAAGTAATTCTTGCTTTTACGGCACGTTCAAGCGGACTCGCGTATCAGTTTACGGAACAATGCAGCTGCCAGAGGGACGGACAAAAATGCCTCCTATCTCAGAATTTCGGCGCTAACAAAGTTATTTACCGTATCAGACGCGAATGCTAATTTCTAAAAGGTAATCGCTATATAATTGACGCTAAAGTCAAGCCGACGATCTGATAAAATTCAATTTATACAGATATTGAATGTTTTTCACTAGCGCGAGACAATACATAATAAAAAACTTTAAGTCTAAAAACGATGCAAATGATTTTCGGTTGTCGATGAGTTAATCCCGACATTTTATATTCATGTTACTCTCGATTAATTAAACGCTGATTTTCCGACAATGACAAGTTCGATAATTCTCTATATGGAAATATATCATTTACGAGATGTTATTTTTTTACCATAATTAAGAGAAAATTGTAAAACAAAATACAATAATGATTCAATTATCTGTGCAATAGTTTATAAGCTTTTCCTCGATATAGTAAAATTTGGCGATTGAGGGAATTGTCATTTCTTTTAACGGTTTTCCAATCGCAGTTAAATACACGACAGATGACAAACACAAATGAGAGTACGCAATGTGTAGTAAAGATTTAAAATAATTCAAACTTATATAGACAAGTGAAAAGAATTCATTACCTTAGCACTGCGCAAAATTTAATTATCTTCAGTTAAAAATAAACTTTTAAAATGAAACCTTTTTTTTTAGATATCATTGTATTATTTATATTTTTTTAGACACTAATATATTTCTGTGCTAAATGAAGAATAACATGTAATACATTATATATGCGCGATTAATATTATATTCTTTTACGATAAGATATATACCTGTATAACGTTGTTGCTTGAGGAGATTGCGATCCCAAGTAAAGTACCTGTAAAAATCCTGTGCTTTATGTGTTTAATATTCTACGAGATAAATATATGTATCGCGATTAATATTAAAAATAATATAGAGTGTTAATAATATAGTTGTCCGTTTAAATAATACATTATCAATTCTACGAAAATCTGTAAAATATATGAATTTGTTACAAACGCAAATTGATTACAACTTATTTTGAAAGCAGAATTCTGCCGCTATTCTTACGCTTTTTACGAATCTTACCTCTGTATCTATCATTCTGACATAGATGTATTTTCTACCGTCAGTCTTCAACATGATTAATTTATCCATCGTAGGGAGACAGACTCATCAGAGAAGAAAAAGAAACTCAAAGTGTTTCTTTCGAGGGTTAGGCTTCTTCATTCGTGACGTGACCTAACTACCTCCGCCAAGTAACCACAGTGGGTTATTCAGCTATGTTGTTCACCTAAACATCTTTTTATTTTCTCTCACTCTGTGTGTGACAGGTTATATAAAATATTTAAAAAGATTGCATGATAAATTAGCACAATATTGGGATAAAAATCATCTTCGTTTCTAAGACAAAAAAAAATTTGGAAAATGCGAAAATTAAAGAATTCCAAGGATATTTAAAAGGTATAAAATGGTAAGAAATAAAATAATTTTCTGATACATTTCCTAACTTGATATTCTAATACAAATTTTAACGAAGATATAATTTCTCATTCTCTACGGATAATATATCAAAGAAAAATAAATTCAAACATATGATTTCTGCTTCATTGGTGAGGAAAGAGGACGTGCGTGGTCGCGCCCTTAAAAAGCTGTGCTTTCAACGATCCATGAGACAGCTCTTCAGTTTCCAGCTGAGAGGATAATACCCTGATAACCTCATAACCATCCCCAAGGTACGAAATAAAATTTCGCAGGTCTCATACAAAAAATATTTTATTTATTTGACAATAGTTGTGCCACCCACGTCGCGGAAGCGATTAAGAAGTTACCGTACAAAAATTATTAAATTCCGCTATACATCTGATACCGAATCGACTGGGAATTATTTACAACTTTATAGCACATTTATATATTAACATACTTATTAAATGCATGTAATAGTACCTTCAAACAATCACGAAACTATGGTTTCGTTTTAACGTTCATTCGTGACGCACCATTCATTCGTGAGGCACATTCATCGTTATTGAATTTTCAGAGAGAAATCATCAGGTATTCAACGCGAACAATTATACATATACCCTGAGGCACATTCATCGTTATTGAATTTTCAGAGAGAAATCATCAGGACGATGATTCGAGGAACTTTTTTCCAGAATACAAGTGAATAGTTACGCGATTGATAAAATCGATGACCTCGAAAGAAAGCGATAGATTGCTCGCGAGCTTCTTTTTGAGAAGTTCTTCTCCCGTTTTCGCGTTTTTATTTCTTTTATCTCCCTTATACCACAGAATAGTCCTCGATTAGAGTCTCACCAAAATGAGTTACAACATAATCGTGGTAATACATCATTATACAAAGTGGTTGCCCGATGATGAGGCTTGCCCATACGACGATGTTGCCCCATCTGGCGCCGCAGTATCGCTCCGCCATCTTGCTCAACACCGACAGTGGTATCTAGAATGAACAATTAGCGTTGCACGACCGGAATTTCCGTACTTAAGGGCGGACAGGATGAATCTTGTATGCGCATACAAGATATAGTACGCAACGTAATTTCATGCAAAAGTCTATAGAATAATGTTGCAGTGTCTGTAAAATCTCTTGGAATCTCTATATAAGGGATATTAACTGAGGTCATTACATATAATTTAATACATATTTAATATAGAATATTTTTTAAATTTATTTTTTTATCTGGAGTATTAAGAATTCGAGTGAATTCTGATCCATTTCCCAGGATTAATAGTGATCTCGAAGTCAGAACGTTATTGAAACTGTCTAAAGCCATACAGTTTTTGAAGGATAAACAAGAATTTCTTGACGCTAGAGTCAATATTTGTACAGTCAACAATACATAGTCGAAGTAAACGCGCGGAAATCTTACCTGTCCCATCATACCCATAAAAGCCCATATCTTGAACGTCTTCAAGGGTACACTGACGAGATATTCATGGAAGAAAGCGCTGATGAAGAAGACGGTCACCGACGCCGTGGTCTTACTATAGCCCATCTCCACAATCGGAATATAGAGATGTCTGCAACATAAATATGTCACATATTCATATATCTCTCGAATGTAAAATATTTAAAATAAAAATAAAATAAAATTTTCATCTGCAAATTTCTCACAAAAATAAAGTGCGAAAAGAAAAAAAAATCTGTTTTGCTCTTTTCCGGCAATAAATTTTACAAAAAAATTAGCCACATAGTATTCTGGCTAAGCTGTACACATTCGGTCCAATAAAAAATGCTCCAAACAATTCAATCGATTAAAGATCCTGATTCTAAATCTGATAACAAGGAATCCATTTGGAGCACGTTCGCCTATTATGCCGACAATATCATTATCGGCGTCACAAAGGGGAACAGACATTTCTATAGTATCCGCGCTCTTAGACGGCGGTTGTGCCGTGGAATACACGCGAAACGTTGTTAGACCGATAAGATAGACAAAAAGTACGATGGTGACAAAGGCGCGAATTTCGCTCCAAGAAATTAAAGCGATATCCAGGAAAGTTTCGCCGGATTGGCAACACTTTGCCGTTACCGTTTTCGTTTGTATGACGGGACAAGGAGAAATAGACAACTCGAGGGAAAGAATCGTTAGCCGCTTGGTTATCGGTGGAAGTGCATCGGAAAGGAGACGAGAGTACGAGGGGGAAGCGGAGATGGAAAAAGGAGTACCAGGAGACACAAGGCGGGAGGAAGGAAAGAAAATTCAAAGGTAGAACGACGACAGTTCTGAGGATTTCAGACCGTGCACGTTTTGCCGCGGTCCCAGGACTCGAGATTCCGTCGCCTTTTCCGCGCCTCTCGTCCTCGTCCTTTCTTTTTCTCCAACCGGGGCGAGCGTCTCCTCCGCGCAAGGCGCTCGAGAATATCTTCAGTTATAGAGGTATTATAAATGCCGCGGGGAATAAACAGCCTTAAGTGCGCATCGCGATGCGTATCGGCTTTTCCCATTACAAACCTGAAAAGATCGTCGTCGGCCTCAGCGTTCTCGTCAACAACGATACACCTCCATGCGTCTGACGTCGTCTCCGATGCATTTCCATTTTCACGTCGGCCGTTTCTCCCCCCTTTCCCTCCCCTGCGCATGTATTATAAGCTGCGTGCCAGTCGCAGCTTGCAACTGCAGCTGCGTATCTACGTTGGTGCGAAAAAAAAAAGGAATAAATGACCGTAAGTGAGCAGGTGCGTCGTGAGGTAAAAAGAAGCGCGAGCGTCGGGAAAAGACTTTGGAAGTTCGTGAGGCGTCTCTTTAGCGAGTCTCATTTTCATTCGTTTTTATATCATTTAAAAAGGGAACACGGCTGGTCATTTTCACAGTACGTGTCGCGTTTTATAAAGATGTGTCGCGTTTTATATAAGACCTTCTCGTTTTAGTTATGCAGTGTTAGCTACTGCTTTACGATTGTCATAATTAATTCAAGTAACGTCCCTTTTCTTAGCGCAACAAAATTAAGCATTTTCGTCACGATGTAATTCGCAGGAATAAATATCAGGATGCGAAAATATAAAAAATATATATAACATCTAAACAAATCGAAGTACATGTCTTGTGAATATCCACTATCTGTAGTATCTACATCTACTATCTGGTACGATGTATATTGGCTCTTTATACGACATTCATGGTGAACGCCGTGCAGTTTGTACGTGGCAATTCTGATGGCTTTCTTTTCTCTCGGTCACATAATAAGAATTTCGTACGGCCACTTTTACAGGGATTTAAACTTTCTTTTGGGCTACTTTCGAAGTACAAAGAACCGACGCAAGCTTTTGAAAGGAGGTCGTCACTATGGCCCGAGTTGTTAGATGCACGTGCGATGGGTAACCGTATAGAAGATGGAAGGCCCGCCGGAAAAGTCTTTCGGAAGTTCGTTGATTGTATTGAGCGGAGGATGTATAATCTAATGTGGCGGCGACAGCCGAGATGTATGAGCTGAAGTAGACATTTTAGGCGGAATAAAAGGTTTTCGTACGCGCGCGAAAACTTATTCTTGTAAAATAACAAGATGTTATCTCTCAAAAACGTGTTATATATAATAACGCACGCGTCCCATATGAAATATAAAAGTTTATACATGCACGAATAATCAAACAATCGAATTGTTCTTGCAATTTCGATAGCAAAAAATTCAAATAAATAATAAACATATTAATAATATGTATCAATAATATGTATAAAATGAATATTATTTATTCTACAGAATTTAATCGAATATACGTAGATAAATAGAGCTCTGTAATTTAAAAAATTTAATAAAATTAAGGTCCCCTTTGTACAAAAAATATTAGATAGCTAGCGCAACATGACAATTTTCTTTCTTCGGCTGATGTTTTTACGTAATTGGTAAGATGCGCTGACGTTACTAAGGCGATACACGGAGTGTTCCGCGTTGAAATGACGGTCATAGCTGCGAAATAACCTCAGCGAGACGCGTATTGCGTTATTACATAATCATGTTACCCCTACACAGCCGAGTCAAAGGTGTAAAGTGCGCGGAGTAAAGCGTCGAAAGTTTTTCCTTCTACGGAGCAGAAGGTACGCGAGAGGCCGGGTATTACGAAGCGTAGAGATGGCGAGGGTAAATAGCGCAGGGGTGCAAGAAAGAGAGATGAGAGACAGGAAGTAAAAGAGATGAAGGCCGTCGCCTCTCGCTGCATGCCGGACCTTTGATCGACTCTTTCTCTGTTCTATCTAACCGGGATTAAACTTCGTTAACAAGTATGCTCCGCTTTAAGAAGATTTAATTACATTTCTCGCGAATGTCTGGCATCCCCGTCTGATCTATGAAAAGAAAGAGAAGTTTCCATGAATTGGAAACATCTAACCGCATGCACTTCTTGCGAATCTGATTGCATCGCGGTGAAGTTTCACAATTGTATTAAGTCTCTCTTGATTCATAATAATAAATGGCGTTCTCGATTATAACTCGATGATATCTATTCTTAATAACTTCGAAATGAATTATCGTTAAAATAAGTCTGTTCGCTTAATTACGAATATTTCAAAAATTTAATCACGATATTGCATTTCTGAAAATAGCAATAATCAATATTTCCTAGAAAGATGTTAATAATTAATGCTTGGTACAAAAAATATCAATATTCGCAAACCAATTATCGACATTTCAAGAATAATCGTTCAGCAAAGCGTAAAAAATTTAAAAAAAAACTCTAGAGACTCATTTAATGCTTCAGATTTAAAATTAAACTTATAATACTTTTATTGAACTCGAAAAATTATTTTAGATTAATCTAAAACAGTAATCAAAACCAAAAGCTGCTGATATTAAACGTTGTTATAAATAAAAATCGTTTTACTCACCGCACAGCCCAGCGATGCACCGGCATGTTCCAAGTTCTCCAAAATGTATCGATATTGTTTGCGTTCCACCAGTCGCAGTAAAAATTTCGATCTGCGAAATGCAGCAGCTCGCCCATCAAGTTGAAAAAAGAATGAAATATCAAGTAGAAGAAACAAAGCCACACCAAATGATTCGGTATCTGGAACAATAAAGATTTTTGGCTTATATAAGACTCAAACTTGCACAATAATCGCGTAATTTATGATCGAATTAAAGAAAAATAGCTGAGTGCAAAAAGATAACTTGTGTGCCAAGAATAGAAATAGATTCTGCTTGATCCGAAAATTACTTCAATATTTTATAAGCTTAGAATTCCGATTGTTCCGTTTCGAAAATAAAGTCCCAATTATAAGACAAAAATATCAAGTTCTAATGTATTGCTATATCAAGAACATGATTCCATTCCATCTGATCCAAAAATATGTTTAGAATTTTATTTCGAGAACGCGAAAAAACTCTAGAGACTCATTTAATGCTTCAGATTTAAAATTAAACTTATAATACTTTTATTGAACTCGAAAAATTATTTTAGATTAATCTAAAACAGTAATCAAAACCAAAAGCTGCTGATATTAAACGTTGTTATAAATAAAAATCGTTTTACTCACCGCACAGCCCAGCGATGCACCGGCATGTTCCAAGTTCTCCAAAATGTATCGATATTGTTTGCGTTCCACCAGTCGCAGTAAAAATTTCGATCTGCGAAATGCAGCAGCTCGCCCATCAAGTTGAAAAAAGAATGAAATATCAAGTAGAAGAAACAAAGCCACACCAAATGATTCGGTATCTGGAACAATAAAGATTTTTGGCTTATATAAGACTCAAACTTGCACAATAATCGCGTAATTTATGATCGAATTAAAGAAAAATAGCTGAGTGCAAAAAGATAACTTGTGTGCCAAGAATAGAAATAGATTCTGCTTGATCCGAAAATTACTTCAATATTTTATAAGCTTAGAATTCCGATTGTTCCGTTTCGAAAATAAAGTCCCAATTATAAGACAAAAATATCAAGTTCTAATGTATTGCTATATCAAGAACATGATTCCATTCCATCTGATCCAAAAATATATTTAGAATTTTATTTCGAGAACGCGATGTAAGTTTTCTGTAGCAGGATGTATCGGAATTTTCTAACTTTTTCTAACTATTTTATAACTTTTCTTAATTTCTACTACATTCGTGAAAAAATACTCTGAACATGGAATGTTATATAATTTTAGATCTATTAAATCTCTTAAATAATCAATAATTTTATACTCAACTATAAAATTCTAAATAAGCATTATAAAATAAGATATTTTTTATCAATATATTTTAAAAAATCTTTAAATTTATTCAGAACTAAAACATATTGTTTATTAAAAAAAAGTAATTTTATATTTCTTTATATTATATCTTTGTCAAAAGTTTGCATAAAAATTTCTTATAAAATTTGCGAATGAGAAACACGTGTGTAAAAGAGATAATACATACGGCGCGAGAAGGTGCCACAATTAATGGAAAAGTAGAGAAAGATCGTTGAAGCTCTTTCTCTCTCTTTCATTATATGTCACGTTTTTAATAGATTGAACAAAATGCAATGCCTCGAGATGACGTCGGAAAAAATTAACTAAAACGAGTATATGATCGACGTGCAAAAAGAAAGATGTGTTGCGATATTATTTACGCATCTGCAGAGATAAAAGTGAAGCAACTATATAACGAACTTATAAAGTATCCCGTCTATTTCTTTAATTACGTTTTAATGGAAATAAGTAACTTAGACCGAGTCTTTGATCATTTATCGCGCACTTATATATAATATGATGCAGCTCTAAAAGTTTTTATCCATTTTCTTAATAATCCTCCTTTTCTTAATGTTATTGAAAGATTAAAGAAAAAAGAGTAATATATTATATATCGCCATTGTGTCACTTTTTTATCTTTTATCTCCACATTAAGATTGACTATTTCTTTTTATACCGCGACACGTGTTGATCTCGTGGTGAAATGACAACTGAAATAAATGCTTTCACATCAAAGAGCGACGCAGAAAAAAAATAAATATGGACTCGATCTAACATCAGACGAATACTTTCGCAAAAATTTCTTTCGACTTTTATGGCAAAGAATTCCGAAGTTGTTTCGTTTCGGATGCCATTTCGGGGCCGCCGAGTCACCGGTATCATCCGCGTGCTTCCGTAGAGCTCTCTCGCACAAGGCAAAGGACTTAATAATGTTGCCAAGCACAAAGGTCAAGTCTCTTGCGCCGCAAGGCATCCGCGGCACTTTCACGAAAAAAGGACAGAAAGCCCTTCCTCCCGCTTCCTGGCAGCCTCTTCCGGAAAACTTACCTCGGCGTTTTAATTTCGTTTACTCGGGGATGCTACTGTAGGAAAAAGAGGAAGACAGAGACGTAGTGCGAAGAAAGAAAGAGATAGAGAGAAGAAAATGAGGGACAGACCAGAAGCCAGTGAATCGTTTGAGACATGTCGACGATACCACAAAGGGAAAAGCGGTAAACTTTAAGCCGTCTCTTTGGCCACAGGCTATCTAAAAAGGAAACGCTTTCTCTTCAAGGAGTTATATGAGAGATGCAAAATATTGCCGATCACAAACGCGACAAAGCAGAATATGTGCACGGCATTTTCTCGGTAGTAAGAAACTTTGAAAACGGAAAATTATCGATTTCAAGATAATTCAATCTTTCAAATTCTCGTCTATATTTATATGTCGTCAATTTTTGCAAATTTCAATTGCTAACTTTTATTTGTAGTTCAAATCTTGGTATATACACGTAACAATCTTTGGATTCAAAAGTCTTTCGGAAAAAATTTAAATTTCACAATGCAAATATACACTGTCACCATTTCTTTTCTATCTTAAAGAAACTTCGAATCAGAAATTGATTTTTTCCTCGTCAAGTCGTATACAGATTATATTGATATAGATATACAAGATCTAATATTGAGATCAGCAAAGTCTACCAAACGACGTGCGCGAAATGCGCGAACAGGAAAGCGTTCATTCATATTGATGCGCGGCTCAAACATCGATCCCCGCGCAAGAAACCAGCAATATCGTCCGATTCGTGCTTGATCCCATCACCGGCTGCATAACATTAATGCGTGCTTGGCTTACGTATACCATCCGGCAGTCGATTTTCATCGATAATGCAAGAATATCGGATTACAAGGCGCGGCAGGATTTTCTACATGCGCGTATCGATACGCGGTATCCGCGTCATTAGTAGTCGTCGCGGAAAAAAAAGTACGAGAGTATATAAGTCGACCTGCTTAACCGCGTGTATCGCATTATGTTGGTAATCGATATTTTCCATTTTCTTTTCCATCAGTGACCCTCCCTCATCCTCTTCTTCAACTGCCATTCTCCCTTCGTGTCCCGAGAACGCTTGACGTGTGCCTGTCTATCAGATACGTTTACGCTTACCAGGTCTCTCGAAAGATATTAATATATGAAAGACATACCCCCCCCCCACCCCCCCAGTAATATAATGGTTGGGATAGAGAATATGTAAATACGAGCGGATTGAATCTTTTAACTTTATCAAAAGCCAGCTATTGGCCTGCGAGTAAAAGAGTGGAGCTAAATTTCACGAATAAGTATGCAAATGTTGAATAATCAAACTTCTAGACTATGTAGAAAAAATTTTAGTACCGGAGATAGATATTGATCGATGGCGAATATTCGATGACTATTCTCCCATGTATCACTATCGAAAAATAATGTAAGAGTAACAGTGTTATTAATACGTCTCGCTATGATTCCCCTACGTCAAATGTAACGTCCATTATCCTATGTTTATTGATGCGCAAATATCTTCTGCATCGTCGAGAATTGCACGTCGAAAATTAGATCGTATCCATCGTTATGCGCAGCCTTTGCGCAACCAATCGACAGGTAAAAGCGACGAAGAGACCGCGCGGCGGCGGTGCCGTTATAATTGTCGTTTTGTACACTTCGGATGATTTTCAAAGGCAAAGAGATTTCGGAATGAAGCACTGACGCGCGAAGGGCGCGCGAAGAGCGCGGGCGTGTATAAAAGGCGAGATCGAGCCACGAGGAAGGAAGGGACAGAGATAAAGAGAAAGAAGAGAGGAAGGACCTCGTTGGACTGCGGGAAAATTGCGTTTTCCCATTACGACGAGATTAAAGTCCCGTCCCGCATTGCAGTTCCGTCCCGTTTCTTCGACGCCACCCTCGGGCCGACTTCGTATATAAGAACCGCAATTAACCCTCGACGGTCACACGCGTCCCAAAGTCCACGATCCCCCGCGGCTATTTGCGGTGCAAACGAAAAGTAAGACTGTGCGCGAAAGATCGAGAGAGACGATCTCGGTAAACAATTATTTTTTCTACGCACGCGCGCAAAAACAAATAATTTACCATCGCGAATGAGCAACCTTTGATTTAGCGGAAAAAAAAATCTATTTTTTTCGTGGCAAAATTAATTTTGCCCCGGGGCTAATGAGCCGCCCCACCTTTCCTCCCTTCATACGTTATTAAAGAACGCGCTGAGGGATTTTCTTCGCTCTTTTTTAGCCGATGCTTTTATTATCCACAATTTTATCGCTTTACTCTGTTTCAAAAGAATTCTGGGATTGAAGAGAAATCTATTTTTCGACAAGATTTTTAATTTTGCTTCGCGCTTAAATTTATTCTAGTACCGTATTCGATCTCCAGTATCTAAGTTCTCATATCAACACGTATCAACGCGTTTTTTATATTCACGCATCACAGATCAAGCTAGATAAAACGGATTAAACAAATACGGTCGGATTATGCACTACGACGGAATAATAATATACTATCTGTACAATCAACGTGCGCGTGCATATTAAATTTTTCCATAAACAAGTTTATATTTATTTCATATCACAGTTATCTGGATCGCGCGTCTCGACGGAAAAAGTCGGCGGCACGAATCGACGAGTGGATCAATAATTAACAGTACAGCCGGCTCAATTAACGCGAAACTTTCATAACAAAACTCAGCCATGCACGACCACCAGTCTACCGTTTTAATCGCGAATAATCGACATCTACCAACTGGCCGGACGCGACGGGAAAGTCCGTCGCGCGCGCCGCTACACACTCCCGAGGACAGTCGCTTTGGGACGAATTTATATAATTGAATTCGGTTCACTGGACTCCGTCCAGCATTCGAAACACTACGACCGGCTAGTTCCGATCCGAAGCATTCGAGCTAACGAGAGAATAACGAGCAACGTCGAACGAACGGACGCGAACGCAGAATAGCTCGGTCCCAGTCTGAACGTCGAAGAGTAGCAGAGCGTGTCGGCGCTGCAAGGAAAACACGAATAAAAAGACACGATGAGCGCTACAGCATTCGCATGAACAAACCTTTGCATATCGGTTCTTCTTTTTTCTTTCTTTTTTTTTTTTTTTCTTGCGTCACGTATATTCCCAATGCGCCGAGAATGTTCTAAAACAATCGTACATTTTCTGCGGATATCGGAATTTAAAATATGAAAAATAGAGACTGTTTGAATATCGAGAGGAATTAATCTTCCATAATGTCAAGCTAATTTCAAATAGTCTCGAAGGAAATGTCTTTCGAAGATTACCAATACTTTAGAGATTAAAATGGTTGAAAGGAAAAATTGACTTTATAAATTCAACAAAGAAGTTATCGTTTAAAATAAGTAAATCTCTCTTCTTTAAATTCTATAAATAGATATCCAATTAGTGAAAAGAATTATATTCTCTTAGATAGATTTATTATTTTGACATTCGCTTTCTAGCAACTGCTTGTATTAGCGGTACAGAAAGCAGGTGAATCGAAAGTATCAAAACAACATCTTCGGCGCGTATCGTTGTGTATCGATCTCCCTGCGGACTTGGCGACAAACGACCTTTTTCCATCGTCGAACGTGCATATTTTACCCGGAAGCGTCAGGAATACGGCCGATGCACGACGAAACTTAAATCAGGAATTCATAGATTCCGGCGTACTTTCCGCGAACGCCTGGAGCTCTTACAAAATCTCCTCCTCCCCTCTCTTTCTCTCTTTCTATATATATATATATATTCTTTTTTTCAGACGTACTCTTCTTTGAAGAGGAACACAACATTTCTATTTCACATTTCCATAGACAACTTCGTTTATTTTCCAACATGCAACAGATCCAAGTTATAGTAAAGCAAAGAGTTGTAACCGAGAACATTGAAGTTAACCATCTCTTACGCTCTATCCACATAAAAAATGTGGCACACGCAGGAACAGTGTAAGTAGTAAATTAATTGAGAATTAAGAGCATCTGCAAAATACAGTTATATCGTGACAAAGCAATCTTCATTAACGATCCCAAATATTCCCGAATAATATGTATTATCCAACCAAAAACTTTGTTTTACATATTCTGGATTATTCTTGTTGGAATATTCGTACTAAGAAAGCTGGTGCCGGCTCGCAAACTTATGCAACGAATGGATTTATAAGGCGTTGTATTAAGCACGGCATTTATCGACGACACGTAGTTCGATATGAGTTTTCTCTGTCTCGCATTCTAGCTGTCGAATGAACTCGTGTAGTCGTGGCAAAGTTCAGGTGGAAACTGCGTTCTATTGCGGAAGGGAAGAGATTGAATTCGCAAATATTGCCTCGAGACTTTCCTCGTAAAAGGTGTGTTGTAGAAAAAGAGAGGAAAATCTAGCGCGAAAAATTGGAAGTATCTATCTATACAGTTTCGCAAATAAAGTACGTTCGCGTGTGAACGGTATCAATATGACGACGAGCTTAAAGAATCGCTGAAAGAAAGATTTTACGTTAAAATAACGTTTAATAATATTTCATGTAGCCAGTATACGTTTACATTAATTGAGTAATATTTAATATTTTCGAGTCATACGATGCTTGTCTACGTGACGACAGAGAAGTCTTATAATGTATTTGACTTATAATATATTTGACTTATAATGTATTTCGGACACACCCGGTACGCGCTTATAAATTTGCAAGCAAATATATAGATACATGTGTATACTCACCGCTAACTTGAGAAGACGCTCGGAGGCCTTGGCTACGTCCATATTCTGCAACGCAAACGAGAGAGGTACGAAATTATTAATGTAGAAGATAAATACATGAGAAACGTTAAGAGAAAGAGGGGGCTAGGAATTAAGCAGATATGCTTTAAAGCTGAACGCAAAACAAATACAAAGTTGGAGGCCGGGTATTTGTGAGAAGACGAAACATATTGAGAGCGGAACCAACGACAAAATATTACTTTCTTTAATTGGATTTAAAATTGTAAATACCAACTGTAAGATCGCTGTGGCTGAATTATTTCGCACGTCGCACAATTCCGGAATCCGCAAAAAAATATCGTGATTGTACGCCGCGATGGAAATTTTGGGCTGCGCGTTGCAGTTAAATCGAATCAATGAATCGTCAATTCTTTTGAAAGGATGCAGTATTTATACCCGTCTCTGTACAACGCGCTATGCTTTGCCGCAGTACAATTGAAGGTTTATTTTCGTGCAAACGTCCATACACACACACACACACACACACACATATATGCGAAATTAGATTAACGTCATGCATCCAGAAAGCAAACCGCAATATTTAATCCGCGAATCGAAAAAATGCGGTTGTATGATATATCGCTTCTATTTTTATTTGAGAAACATTGTTTTGTGAGGAATTTTTGTTTTGACAGTCATCTCTCCAATATCTCCGAAAAATCGAAGATAATCGTGCATAGATCAAGAATATAGATATGATAAATATTAATAGCGGATACTAAATTTTTAAATAATATTCGTGAAAAATTATTAATCATCACAAAGATAAAATCGATAATTTGATCATTACATTTCAATCGTTTAATCCGGTTATTATTAGATATCCAATATTTATGATCGTATTTAAAAAATAATCCTCTTGTTTATTTTAAAATTTTAAATATTTTAAATATTTTAAATATTTTTTTTTTTAGAAAGTATCATTTCAAAGTATTTTGATTTAACTGCTTTATCTTTCAAAGTGTATCAGTAGTGTCCCTGCTTTTAATTTGACGTCAAGTGTTTCTTATATAAACATGAAAATTATTTAATTGTTAATATAAAATCAAATCTAAATATCATGTACTATTTTATTAATTTACAGATCGCGATTTTAGAATAATATTATTTTAAAGACAAAAACCACTTTATTAATAAACTATTTTGTGGATTTACCTATGTTTTAATATGCGAACAATGAATATCAATTTAACTCTATTTTTAATCGTATCATTTATATCTCAACACAAGTTAAGATGTATTACAAATTGAAATAAACTGCATTTCCCTGAAATAGAATTTCTAAAATGTCGGACAAAATAAAATTTAATATTCGGATCCAAATGATATAGAATTAATCAGCAAAGTTTAACGGAAATCCAGGCACTGTTAACTGAAGGCGCGTTATTAAATTAAAAAACTAACTTTTAATTTGACTTAACAATAGCTTCGTCACTGAGCGAAGACATCCGAGAGTTTCCTTTTCCTCATTCATATTTGCACTCGGTTTATGTATGTTGAACGAGAAGCTTTCCACCGATGGAATTGATATTTCGTGCGCTAGCGCGCTAATTGAACACAAGGGAAGGGAACCGTCCCTCCGATGTTCCGCTTAAGTGGCGGTTGTCGAGAGGTCCCTTCGAATGCTGCAACAGCCAGCCCCGCGCTTGTATAACAGGTTTGCAAATAAATACTTTGGAGCTTCGTCGCGACTTCAACACGTCATTATCGCGTATATGTACGCGTCAATGGTCGCGCGTATGCCTTTAAAAAAAGTGGCATCTTCGTTGAATATAAACAAAAATCACGAGTCTTGAAATACATATTTCATGTAACAAATTGTATGTGTGTGCATTTCAGTATACGTACAACTTGTATATTCACTACACAATTATACATCACACATATTAAATATAAATAAATCTTCTGCGACATAATTTTTGATAAAATGCTATTTAACTAAAATATTTTTATTTATATTGTTAAACGCAACTCGTTTTTATTACGTACGAGCGTGCGTGCATGCGTGTATATATGTTTATGAGAGATTTATATATTATATGTAATATCCAGAAATAATATTCAGAATTAAATATCGGGACAATGCATTTTACTTCCCAATTTGAAAACAAATAGCAGATTTAATGACAACAAAACGTATAGAACTGGATCAGGATAATTGCAATTATCATGATATGTATAGTCATTATTACATTTAATATTCTGCAGCATATACATTGTGGTAATATCATGATATTAATTGAATCATTCGTGTTTGTGTCATCGTTGCAACAAATTAAATAGAAAAACGACAAAGGCGAAATAGAGAATGATGCTATTATCTCTGGTAATGCACACAAATCAATATATAACACATGAAACGATTAACGCACACTACTTCATCCATTTGTACACTTTATAGTAATGTGTTCGCTTATTGCAATGCTTTTGCAGTTACAAGTAGAGGTCTGGAAACTAATTGCGACGAATTACTGGCTTAAAAAAAGTGCGATTCAAGCGAGTGGCGATAAAATTTAAGAACTGCATCGTAAACAAACGCTTACATCCTGGAGAAAATGATTTTTTTACGACAGCAACAAGTTGTCCCAACGAGAATTTCATGTTTCCTTAGCGCCAACTTTACAGCTCGGTTTAATGAGGCCGCGATACTTTACGCGGTCTGATAATTACAAGCCGGGACAAGTGGTGAGCTCGGCTTGCGCGGCGCATCTGCTATAAAACACGGTCTTCTTACGTGTTTTAATTGAATGATTAAAAAAAGCTCCTTAAAAGAATATACGGCAATAAAAAGAAGTGCTTTAAACACGCAGCAAAAGCAAGAGAGATAATTGTTGATAAAAAATCTTAAAACATACAGGATTTATCAGTCGTTCATCTAGACTTCTTCGGAAGAAGAAGCGAGCTATTTGAATTTGTATTTTCACAAAATCACGGCATTCCAAATGATTGCATTCCGTCCGGAGTTGCGGAGGTGCTCGGTGGCTCGAGAGAGTCTTTGCGAATGAATAGCGGTACTCGAGACAAAGGGAAAGGGAAAGTAAAGGGTGTTCTAAGGATTGAAAATAAAGCGGGATGGATTTTCCTTCAGAGGATCGCGTCCAAAACATCTCACGTAGATAGTTCGGGCCATTTCTTCCTCTTCTTTCTTATTCTCTTTTTATCTCTATTTTGTTTCCGCTGCACTCGTGGAACGCGATCAAAGCATTGGTTTTTTAATATGGACTAGAAACCCGCGCCCCAAAAGAAAGTACAATGCCCCTCAACCACACGTTATGATTCTCATACATGTCGTAAAAAAAAAAAAAAAATTTATAAATTTATAGATATATAAATAATAATATAATTCAAAATCTACATGCAGACGCGTGTTATGATTGCAACGATGTCAATAACATACTCGCTGGATGTTGGTAAGTTAAATTTAGTGAGACATTAAATATCAATGCGAGAAAATATGCCAATATATCTGAAAGCCGCGAGCGAAGTTGCAACAATGCACTAATACCTTCTCGCGACACCTCCCTCTTCAAGCCCCTTTCCTGTCATCTTTACTCGACGTTGATACAGTTGAGCATTCTCATCCTTTTCACGGAATGGAAATAAGTGCTACTCGTGGCATTCGCGATAAATATACACGTTGCGGAATGCGAAAGAAGATGAGAAAAATGAAAGATAAACGCGGACAGAAAAAAGAAGGAAGCTAGAAAAGATTCTCGGTATCAAGGAAACGGCCCCTCGTCATCGCCAGTCGTTTCTTTCGTTTCAATTAGCACCGAGAGATTTACGGCTTTGCATTCGCGAATACTTTGTTCTGCAACTGGAAAAAGTCTTCGAAATACCGGGAATTCGCCCCCGTCGAATTGAATCCTGATCGACTGACAATAGCACACGTCAAACGAGAGGTATTTATGTAGACATCGCGCTCTTTCGACGATCCTTCATCGCGCACGCCAGTAACTCCTTGAGAGAGCTTTTACGAGCGAAGCAGATGCGAATCGATCCATCGATAGGAGATTCTCGGAAGTTTATCTAAATCGACGAGTTCTCAAAGTAAATATGTTAGTGATTAATGTTAGTGAAAATCGCATCACTCGGAATGACGCGTAACGCTAACAGAAGTTATTGTTACTCAAACTCGATGTCGTAATTAATCAAGTAATTAAAGTAATGATTAAATTGAATGAGATGTAGGTATTCGATTAAGCATTTACTTAAGCTTTCCTTTAAAATAAATTTTTACTTATCTGACTTTCTACTTTTAACATTAAAAATATGTCAAAAATATCCTCATCAAAAATGTGAAAAACAGCTTAAGCGATGCTTGTTGTCAAGCGAGTTTCCACCGAGTCCCTGTTTCCATCACACGAGAAGTCTGTTTTTCAGCGAATTAATGTCTAGAGAATTATCCTCAGAATTCAACTCACAACTCTCTTTCCGGAGACCCCAAAATATTTACTCCGATCTGACAGTCGCACTTTCAGACTACGCTACTGAAGAAGACAGGAAGAAGACTGCAGCGGAAGACAAATAGAATTAAAAGACGCTCAACATGGTCTTAAGTGTTTTGTGTCGGAGCATCGGCAAAAACGCGGTTCCGCGAACAACTGCCCTCGCTGTTCTTCATTCACTGACGTCTTCTGGTACTAGTTAGCGGTCGAATAAATATCGTTTTCGCATCCCCTTTTTCCTTGGCGCGACAAACACCCGAGAGAAGAGAGAGAGAGGCCAGAAAAAAATAAGATAATAACTCGCGCTCGTGGGACTGCAACAATTCTCGCAAAAGTCCGAGACAGTCGAATCCCTTCTTTATAAAGATTTTATCTCGTCTCGTTCGCGTTCTTTTTGAACACGAACGCTGCAAGATTGAAACGTTTCCGCAGCATATTCCGAGAGCAATTCGCGGCCGCTTTTCGCCGTCAGTTAAAAGTCGAAGAAATACTGCCTGAGATTCTTCGCCTCGGCAAAGATACGCTGCCAATAAAACTTCCCCTCGCTTTTCGGTCTTT